TAAAATTGATCTATCCGATCAAATCACTGCCATCGATTTATTGATTTCGCTGTTAAAAAAATTTGAGAACAGGAGGAAGGAATTACACCCAACTCCACAGACTCCTCCCTTTCAGCAATCCCTCCCATCAGCCATTGGAGACCCTATGCCAAGAAGAGCTTGCCAAGGAGGAAACTCTCGACCAAAATTTGGACGACAAAAGCAAGGATGACGGCGATCAGGAAGTATTCGACTACAATCACTACGGAAAAAACAACGATGACGAACTGAAAGTTCTTACAATGTTGAATTTAACCTGAGACAAGTAGACCGCAAATTTCAATTAGCGATCGCCGATTACTGCTATACGACTCTTAAACAAAGGAATTTATGTTGACGTGTAAATAAATGGTTGCGTTCTGTCACTTATGTATCATCCCCTTCTTTTTTAACGCGATAAATTCACTATTAATCATATCATATACACAATAAATGTTGATTGAGTGTATATTTTTTCAAAATGCGATGGTGCAGGCGAACGAGTGCCGTTGCCTTTGTCACGCCCCTTTCGGACTTCTTTTTGCCACAGTGCCGGAAGCCACGCCCCTTCTCGATCACTTTTCGCCGCAATGCCGGAAAAATGGCAGTGAAGATGACAATTGGTCTTCAATTTGATGTATACAAGGTTTAAGGGTTGTATCTAGGCTATGGCTCAAGCCGCATTTGTCGTATCCACCGACCCTGAAGGAATAGGTCATGATGGCATCATAGATGACAAGTGGGTTAAGGTATGAAGGCATCAGTAATTGATATGGCATCGTCAACGACGACAAAGCAAAAAAAATAGAAAAGTACAAAAAAGGTAGTTTGCCATATAGCAGTTGCTTTTGGCAATTGTACGTGTATAAGGCGACAAAATAGAGCGTTTGGACGAGTTTCACCCCGCTGCTGAATATGAAGTTCCAACATTCCAGCCCCTTTCTTCAACAAACGATATTGTAATGATGACTGGCAGAAAATTAATCAAATTTTCAGATCGGACTACATGCCTGAATACTACGACAACTTTCCTGAAGAAAGGTCAATATTACTATTTTTACAGCAATCCACCTTTTGGAATTCTTTATTGTAGTAATCCTTGTTCTAGACCACACCTGACTGTTCTTCATGAGTCGAATGCTACCGAGGAAGGTCCCTAGATTTAGAATTCTGTCAGAGATCCCTTGAAATTTCTGAAAACTTGCAGATGCTCCGGTTTTATTAAAATTTGATGTCAATGCCTCAATTTTCACGGATGTGTGATGTAACAGAAAACCTGCATTCCAGCTCCCCAGCTAAAGATACCATTACTTGTATGTACATAAGTAACAGTCAAAAAGGAAATCTCCTACTTTGATTTCGGGATTTCCGCTGGGTCCCCCAAGCATATGGGGGTTTTCAAAGGAATCCCCTCCACATAAACGACACTTAGAACCTCAAGAAGGGACGCATCCGAACGCGTATGTGAGGAAAAAGATAAAAAGCCACTAACACAATCAACAATAGGAAATACATGGACATATCAATAATTCATTGAAATTCACCACTGAACACAGACCACGGCTAGATAAGGCAAAGGACATTTGAAAACGAATATTTTTTACTCAACTGCGCAAAAGAGCTTAATTACCTGATCAAATACATAATTAAATTATGACAACAAAATAAATAGCAGACAAATGTCTTACAACAAACGAAATTACTACTTTAATTATCAGTATTGATAACAGATCTTGTAACCGCATGTCGTCATACAGCATGACGGTTGGACCTATAAATACCGTAATCCGAGAGTGGAAATAGAGTAGACAAGTCAATAATCGATTAGAAGTGAATCCCTACAAAATTGTTCGTTATCAAAGCAACAGCTTACCGTATTCTCGCGTCCCAGACAATCGCTATCGGAATTACAGGCGTCGGCATGGGCAAACAGGCAGTTCAGTCCAGCATTGGCATCAGCTGGGCACTGTGGAGTACCGGTGACGCCTAATCAAAAAAAAANAAAAAAAAATAGTACTGAGACTTCGAAGAAAAAACTTTGGGCTTTTTAGAATTTTCCTAATTACTAATTAACTTGTACGGCAATATGGAAATAACAGTGATGCAGTCCATTTGAGACGCTACAAAGTCGCAAATGTTAGAAAGCTGGGCCGAGACCATGAAAGGTGAGCGAGCGGTCGCGAGCGCGCCACGCCTAACGACTTTAGCGGTCAAGGATTGCATTATACCAGAAATTCCACCGAATTCTCTAAGATTTGTTTGAAAAGATCAAAATTTTCACAAAATTACTTAGGAAGAATTACTTCTGAGTGAGCAGCTTAAGCGTATGTGAATTGACCCCTCTAGGCTCCCCACTCCCCTCGATCATCACGGGCACATTATTGCGTATATCGATTTTATGCGCGTACTCTACTGCTATGCCACGATGACTTTGCATTTTTAAGACATGAAAAGATTATACTTTCTTCGGTGATTAACTAAGACTTCTTCGATATTATTATAGATGTAGACTTTACCCGATGCACCACAAGTTGCTTGGCAACTTGCCAACGACTGGAAATTGTTCGCATTTCCTCCACAACCCGAATAGGTGAATCGTTTACATGAACCGGATGAAGCATCATAGTAGAATCGAATAGCCGGTGCCGTACATGAGCCGACCATCAATGGCAATGAACAAAGGGATGTGCCTAAAGAGGTGCCAGTGATGGTGCACGGGTGCTTTAGTGAACAACAAAAAACTAACAAAATAGTGCAAACGATTTCCGTCGACCGATATACTAGTTGCTAACAAAAAGATGATTGGACCTATCCCAAAAAATTTTTGAGATTTTACAATAGGCGACTCTGGAAAATCAAAAGAGGTATCAGTTAGAACCAAAATGTTGAAGAAAAATCAATAATTGATTGATTATTCTGCATACTTAACCAAAACGAAGTCGTTGTTGCGGCTTTGCTAAAATGACAGTCATGCTCCCAAGAGACTATGAATTGGTAAGCTCGTCAAAAATCATAACAATTTGTTTTCATTAAGTACTGCTTTACAAAAAAATCAATCAAGACTCTTTTAGTGGTTTGTCATATCGATTTATCGATATTCAATCTGCCAAACTTTCTGGCTACACATTGTTGTAGTCATTCAAAGCTCATGTAAAAGGTCGCAAGTTTGGAAATTCGAATTTTTCGTATCATTTTCAACAATTCTCATAAAAAAAGGAGCCATTGATATGAACATTTCAATTTTTTTTATAGGAAAGCCTATTTTGCCACCAAATACGTTCGTATCAAATGAATGAAAGCTGATGCCAATAAGATGAGCCGTACTTCGGGACTCTCTGAAGAACTCCAAGTCCGTCTAATGTTCATTGGCGGCTTTTTACCCAAAAGAACCGTCAGAACAAAACCTCTTTCTTCCTGTGATTCAGCTTTTGTAAAAGTCGCTTTTCAGTTGGACTGCCGAGATCCCCGAGAATGAATGTTTTACCGGGGTAGAAGCAAATGGTGAAGTGCTAAACTTATGAACTGAACATAAAATGAGGAAAAAATTTCATGATAATCAAAAACAAAGTTGGTGAGTGTGCCCATCATAGACAATGAGAAGTTTAATTTCAGTTTTACATTAGAACTAGGCCCTCGAGTTTGAATACTCTGAATCAACTAACTTCGAATTCCAACTGGATCACGACAGATTCGAGTAGCTGAGTTCGTTACAGGGTTCGGTTCCACACAACATTTCTGAATTCCCGGGCAATTGCTGTCCATCCAGCAACCAATGGCGGCGTCCTACAGAGAATAGACTTTACGGTACTTTTAATTAATTATGAGACGTTAAGTCAGACTTTCGTTGGAATGGATCAGGGAACAATCCAAAAAGTCTATTTCATACGAAGCCTTCCTTTTTGAACCACTCGGAAGACCAAAAGTCTGAGGATGATGATATCAGGTATCAACTCACTTGGAACACCGAGATTCCTAGCGGTCGTGGGCAGGAACCCGACTTCGCATTGATTTCTGAGGCTGGGATACCTATAAAAAAGAAACTACCCAGATGAGTTCAGTTTCTTTGACTCAACCTATTTCACTCAGAAATTATAAGATCGGACGGAATATTGGAGACTTATCTCAAAAGAAAAATGCATTTCCCTCTTAAAAACTGAAGAAAATTATTGTTCTCGTACAAAACGTCTTTTCCCAGAAAGAAAACATAGGTTGAAAACGTTGTTTTGCGAAGATGTTGTCTATTCGCCATGAGTTTTGTACGGTCCCAGCAGGAAAAGCTTGTTGTACTTGTGCCTGGTCCACTTTTTCTCTATAAAAGCAGTTTCATGGCAAACACAGCTGTGCTGCTGTGAGCTGGAGAGCATGTCCTGAGCTGCATTCCATTCCACTTAGATGCCTATGACTCCCTCCGGATCCAAATCAAATAGAAAGACAAGCTTGAGCTCTGTTTGCAAAGCATCGCTGGACACAATGCGTTTGTCAGTTGGTCGGTCAGTCGTCGAACGGACAGACGGACGGGCGGTAAGGTGGTCAGTCGGTTGGAGGGGCGAAAGGTGCGAGTGGGTGCGAGACGATTAGTGACGAAGAACGAATGCAAATACGAAAAAGGCAAGCAGAAAAACGACCCGGATGGAAACATGGACTGATTCCGGTTGGACTGGAAGGATCAAGAATGAACTTTTTGTGGTGAAAAAGAAAAAAAATCTAAAGACAGCACTGGCAACTAGTTCTTCTTAAACTTCCATAGACCTTTAAAGGATTTTCAAACATGGGATTACCAGAACTCACTGACCCATTTGACTTATATGGCACTGACGTGTAGTGCTAGGCCTGTTGGACGGTAGAGCATGGTCAACTACTATGTCATCAGGTGTATGGTTGGATGCCTTAGCAGGTTGCTTCCGTACCGGTCTAGTTCAGGGCTTCTATCCCGTCGTATCCAGTGAAGCTTCTCATCCCATGGCTCCGCGCTATCTCAAATGGTACAGGGTACACGGCGGCTCAAAATGAGATCAGACGGAAGAGAGCTGATCCATTCCTCAGTCCATCCTGCTCACTGAACTCCATAGCTATCGCGGTTTCAGTCCAGAAGACATTCTCACAAATTTTTGCTCTCTTTTAGACATCGTTTCGAGTCGTCGTCCGATCTCTTTTCTTGAACGCGCCCATGTTTTGAACTTCTATTCAGAACCTCGTACGGTGGTGAATGTCCAGTACACGAACATCCTCTCAGAATCATGGTGTTAGGATCCTTTTTGGAGAAAAGGTTACACCACTGATCCTCTTCGACGCTTTCTTAACATCAGCGAAATACGTTTAGAGATACGCCGTGCATCTGACCCTCATTATGTCGTAGATACATCTGAATCAGCAATAGACGGTTGGGAACACTTTTGGTGGTTGTGTGGGTAGCTTTCTTGAGCATTTCGTCCACCAATACGACTACAATAATGGTCCGATTTCACTCATGGCTTAGTCATCTCACAAAAGCCATTTATTTCTTCCCAATCAACTAATACATTTGGGCCGAATACCATGGAAGCTACTTCCAAACAATACACAACTCAAAACTCGCAGGTATAGCCCCCAGTCAAACTCTCAATCCCTTCTAATGCTGCCCTGTGCTCCTAGGCGCTTCTAAACAGCATCTTCAATTTCCTGCCTCTCTTCGGTGTATTTTTAGCTGCATATTTTTTTCAGCTCGCTTCCTGGACAACGCTAGCCGGTTTGCCGTTCAAGCAAAGTCACACCCATGAGGGTGAATACGGATGAATAAATAAACAAACAAATGGAAAACTCAAATGAGGCAGATAAGCTATTCTATGGAAAGAGGGGTGAATGAGAGTTTCTTGTGGCATTACTCAACCCACCTGCAGTCTCGATTTGGCAGCATTTATTTCCGTCCGATTGAATACATACTTGACCGGATAGTGGGCATGTTACTGCATCGGAGGTACATTGGATTAACGCTGCCGAACTGAAAACTAGTTATTAACGTCGTATCCAAAGAATATCGAGGAAAGTCGTGCTTCAATGTGTTTAAACTGGACTCCTACAAACCTCGGGACCTTGATTGCGACCCAGAGGTAAGGAAAGTAGACAAAATAAGATAGAGACATTTCGAACTTTTTTTGGTTCCGCTGTGAGCACACCTTTCGGTGGGTGAGTGGAGATGATCAATCTAGTGGATGCTGTTACAGATACAAAAGTATTTGGTGAATTGTAAGGTCTCCTGATAGTGCTTCACCATAGGGTGGTCTTAAAGGTTATTCAAACCCAGTACATGGTTTTGATTTTGAAGCGATTGCGGAGACCAGAAATGAAAAAACCGAAAAATATTCAAGAAAAGAGAAGGTACGGTTGGGTAAGAAGAAGTTAAACGGAGATTTGAAGCATGAAACTTGCCTCGAACAAAATCCTATCCGTGGAGCTGGCTTAGGTGTCGTCTCCGGCTCCGGTATACCTCGACGGCATTCCGGATGGCTGTCTAACTGACCGGTCATAGCATAATAATCACAAATATCTAGAGTGTAAGAAGGAGTGACCTGGAAGAATACACCCATTGATGGAAAGATCGCATAGAATTCATCCAACGCGAGATTAGTTTGTCAAAAAACCATAAGGAAAATAGGTTCTCTACCTCGAGTTCCATTACGAAAATGGTTGGAAGGAGATTGGTGAAAGGGGAGATGCTGTGGGTGGAGGAGGTGCTAGTAAGTTCTACCGTACGAATAGTCTAGGGCTATAATCCTCGATTGATGGCCTAGACTAACCTAGCCCTACATCTCTCTGGGGTCCTTCACTTGGTACTAAATCCATCCCAAAGGATAAATCACCAACAAGAAATTGTACCTAATAGGCATTCAATCAACGCTACGATTTCAAGTAAAGTCAAATGCATGGGCGTATCCCAAGACGGAATCGAAAAGCACAAGAAAGCTTAAAAATTCATTTACCAGATCACCAGACAGTACCAAGCAGATTTTTTGGGCCGAACAGTTCAGAGAGAAATAGCAGAACTCTCAGTACTTCATCTTATAAAGTCATTGCAAAACTATAAAATTAAAAAGAAATAATTTTAAATAAATAGAAAATTCAACTCACTAAAGCAATCAGAGTGCACAAAGTCCGGATAGCCATAGTAATTGAATGGACCAGCTAATCGTCTAGCCAACGGACACCGTACTTTTATATGAGTTCCATGGACGATGGGCGGGTCGTCAACGAAATAGCGATGGGAGGGAGGAGAAGCGGACGGTGGCGGCGGCGGTGGTGGTCAGTTGGATGGTGCACCTTAGGATAAACACAAAGCATGGAAAAGCTGGTCCGAAACAATCCCTGCGGGCTTTTCTCTTGCGACGGATCAAACAGTGACGGATATCGAGGTGATTCGGTGAGAGCTCAAGGGTGATTCGAGCAAATGAGAGGTCGAACAGAATGATCGGGGAACCTGAAAAGACTCTTCACTCAAGAGACATGAAGGGTGCCATATGGTCTAATCTCGTTTGTTAAAAATTCCTGCATAGTGCGCTACGCATTCAACCACGAATAGAAAACAGATATAGTGTTTATAAGGACTGACCCTGCAATGAAAAGCTTTAGCATAAGATCACATTCAGAATCATCCGTCAATTCTCCCAGGCTGTTCCCATATAGTTGAAGATGGGTGGTAGAAAATGGTTGCTCAGTTTCAGCACAATCACATGCAGACCCACTTGTCCAGCTGTCAAACCACTGGAACCCTTGGGAACATAAAGTGAACTACAGTTGTTCTACTACATGTAAATCGCCTGATGTGTTTGATGAGCTAGCCGATGTGTTTGCTTGTTGCTTTTGTTTGTTTGTTTAGCTGTTTGTGTTTGTCGGTGCATTTTCTGAGTCCAAGTTTCCCAACCCTTGCTCACCTTGGCCTAGAATTTGGGGTGGATACTGTGGAAACGCAGATGGTAGGTCTTAGGAAGTGATACAAAGTGATATGGGCTTGTAACGAACCTTAGAAGGCAAGAGCAATAGGTACAATGCGGCTTCGTGTTACCTTGGCGCTCTGGTGAGTATGTATTGTGGAGTGTTATGGAATCGGAATTATGTGACGGTAGGGGATGATACCGGTTGATAGGGGCTGATAATAAGAAGAAAATGAAGTATACACTGCAGAAAATGTATGAAACAAATAAAAGTATGTAAAATAATGTACGTACTCTACAAGGGTTCAAAATTAACTGTTCAAAGTAATGCTAACATTGTTTGCGAAGGACCTCAATGTAAGATACTCCCGCCCGTTGAGAAACACCACCCACTACTGTTTTAGTAGTGAAAATCATACCCATCAACCGCACTTTATCCACTGCCCAGACTCTCTGATGCCCTGAGGTGCATAAAACTGTTTAGCCTCCATTTCAACGACGTTTATAAACAATTTTTTACGGGGACATTAAGGGGCTTCAAAACTGACCTCATGCTTGCGCCATGAGCTTGTAATCTACTCTCCAAAAGTGAAGTATTTTGTAGTGCCTAGACGTTTGCCTACCAAGACAGTGTGAGCAGAGTTAAGCAGAAGTTGTCTGGAGTGAGTATTTCAGTATTTTCAACCATTCCTACACCGACACCACGACGAGCCCATCCGGAGAAACGGCGATGCACTGGTTTGAGACGCCACTTTTCACTTGTACGTTTCTTAGAATCGTTTTTTTACACTGCCAGAACCAGTCGCTCATTCTTACGGCTTTACCTGTTCAATGCAGACTCGCCACCAGGAAGTCACCGGCATTGTCCACCTCCTGTCTTGTCCGTCAGCCCTTGACACCAGTGCAGGTTTGAATCTATTCTGAATTTTGGACAGATTCAAACCGTGGCGAATACTGGTGGGTTCGATGGTATGCGCTTAGAGGGAATACCACCATTTGGGTGCTTCCCCAACAATCCTCGTCTACAGATCCCTAGTCGTTGAACTCACACAACGGCTCGTCTCATACCGGATAATGAACAGGAATTGTTTGCATAGTATCGTGTCCTGTTCCTCGTCCGCGTTTGCTGGCTGATTCAACGAGAGATGTTTACCGCCGTCTTGAAATGAGTCGCGCGTTCCGTTAAGGTCGTACTTGCCTCGCTGAGTGCTGTTTTAGGAACCCNCCCGCAACCATGGACCGGACACCTGATCTGACGCGCGGCCGAGCTTGCGAGCGAGCACTAACGCTCCGTTATTCATTCGGTCGATGTTCATAGCCGGGGCTATTTCCTTTGAGTGCTTCCCGGAATCCAACAGAAGGGCCCGAAGCAGAAGTCAAGGGTAGTACAGATGGAACTGTTTTCTGTGGCGCCGTGCTAGACAATCTGGGAGGGAAACTTCAGACAGCGGAAGGACAGTGAATGCGTGAACCTTCATTACTGAAAACAATGCAGTGAACTTGCTATACTGCAACTTGATCACCTACCCCCACAGCCCACTTACTCACCACTCCATTTACTTGCACCCATAATCCATCCATTATATTAAAAACTCCCTACAAACCTTTTACTTCAGGGCTTTTAGTAGCAACCCTACCGTCCCTTCACGTTACTGTTCTACCCCTAATTCTATTTATTGTTTAATTTTAATTATTTATTCCTTAATTTTCTGAAAGGGAGTGGCTCAGACATCCAAGGAAGTTCAGACTTCATGGACGTCAGTGGAAACTGCGAATGGTCAGTTCTCCTCATCGCCGCTCTAGCAAGCTGTAACTGGCCACAGCTAGTGCAAGGGACCTTTGGCGCGCGACTATCCGAGAGATCGCACCGTATGAAAGGCGAGTTTGCAAATCTATTCCAAGGTAGAAAAATCCGGAAAACCTCACGGAACTTGCGTGACTCAAGTTGCTTTTTTAAAGTAACACCTTAATTATTCTTTCTGAGATTAACTGTCAAGCATAGACACAACTTTATTCTTCCTTACTGATCAATCCTACGAGCTCTGTCAAAAAAAAAA